TTTTTTTTTTTTTTTTTTTTTTTTTTTTCCTGCGTTTTATTTTTAGTTCTGTACAAGAATTGTTATTAGTCTTTTTTACTCAACTCTTGAAGTTTTATACATTTTTTTTCTTTGTAGGTTGCAATCGAGTTTCCTTACATACTGGCACAAGCTTTGGTGTACGGCATCATAGTTTATGCGATGATAGGATTTGAATGGACAGCGGCCAAATTCTTTTGGTACATATTCTTCATGTACTTCACACTCTTGTACTTCACCTTTTACGGCATGATGTGTTTGGCCATGGCCCCCAACCACCACATTGCCGCCATTATCTCCGGTGGTTGTACCACATTGTGGACCCTCTTCTCCGGTTTCATTATCCCACGCCCTGTAAGTTCATCAAATTCAATCTCTAGGCCCAAATTCAATCGAGTTTGATTACTTGTTATATTTACAAAATTCAATCGAGTTTCTGTAATTTCGAACTTCTCTAGGCCAATAAGTACTCATTCACGAACATATAATTTGATTTTATTATTATTATTTTTTTTTTTGGTGAGAACAGAAAATACCAATATGGTGGAGATGGTATTATTGGGCAACCCCAGTGTCTTGGACACTTTATGGGTTAGCTGCATCTCAGTATGGAGATGTAGAGAGCTATATGTTCCCGGGCGTAACAGTGAAAGAGGTCATGAAAAGTTACTTCGGTTTTAGGCACGATTTTCTTGGAGTTGTTGCAGCTGTTACTGTTGGCTTTGCTTTTCTCTTTATTTTCATGTTCGGGTTATCAATCAGGCTGCTCAATTTCCAGAAGCGATGATATACATACGTTTTGGTTCGAAGGTTTTTTAGTACAAAATGGTAATATCTTTTGTGTGTGTGTGTGTGTGTGTGTGTGTGTTTTAAAGCAAAAGGCAATGGTGATGTAATTCTATGAAATTGGATTTGGAACTCCATTTTTTCTTTTTTCTTGTAATTTGAGATAGATGTTCTGTTTTATGAAGTTTGGTTGCTGTGTTTGTGGCTGGCATGTACCTTGGCTGTTGATGAATATGAATGAGAAATTTCAAACTTTTATTATAAGGATTATATATATTTTGTTTGAATTCTTTTTTTTTTCCTTTATTTTCCTAAATATATTGTTAGACTATGTTTGCTAAAATTGACTGATAAGTTAGCTTATAGCTTATATGCTAATTTCGAGCTTATAACTTATAACTTATGACTTATAGCTGAAAAGCTAGCTTATACGATAAAAAATGTTACGTAAAATTAGCTAATAAGCTAGTTGAAATAAAAATTTTCAACGAATTTATTTGAAAAACTAAGCAAAGAAGCTTATGAGATTAGTTCGAGCTTTTTAAAAAAGTTCGTCCCACGAGTCTTATTTGAATAAAGAAGTTCATAAACTAATCAAATAAGAAATAAACTATAACTTATTTGGCTACCAAACATAGTTTTAAATACATACTAGTTTAGAAGCCATTGTTTTTCGATTGTGAAAGAAAAAATTGTTTTGCAGTGCAATTTAAGAAACACAATTTTTTCTTCT